GTGTAAATGCAGCCACAGATACAGTAAGAACTTTCCATGTGATAAGAATGAAACATCTGACACTGAGAACCCTATGTTGTTTCAATATGTTCCTGTGGTGCTGTTTTCCTTTTTTTGCTTTCTCCTGATGCAGTAAGCCCCCTGTGTGTTGTGCTCTTTCTGGACAGTCCTTCATCTCCACAGATTGCCACTTACTGGTTGCACCTACATTTGCCAGTAACATGATAACCAACACGCACCAACATGATAAACTCCCATGCGGTTCATGCCAGAGTCAGTTGCTCCCGAGTGCAGTGTCTTCACGTGCACCCAGGACTGTAGCTCGTTGAGCTGGGGCAGAGCATCCCCAGACTGGCAGCAGAGTCTGAGGGGTCGGCCCTGGGCTCGAGGAGGGGGCAGCGGGTGGCAGAGGAGCTGGATAGGAGCCCTGTGGCTAGGTACTCTGTAGGTTCCCAACAGTACTGTCTTACACTGTAGTTAATTCATCTACTGTGCCCTAACAGAAGAACTCATGCAGACAGTGATGCTTTAGTGCAGAGCTAATTAGGCAACTCCACATTGAAGCGCACATGTAGATGTGCCCATTGTCTTTATTCCTTCTTTTTCTTATAGCAAAGCTCAGTCCTTTCTTCCTCTCTCCTTTCACCTGCTCCCCACAGTTCACCTGACACTGGGCCAAGTTCTAGTTTACTCTTCTCTTCTAACGCCTTCCCACAATTTTGGTAGCCAGACTCTTCTCCCCATATACTCCTTTATGGCAGGTCCTCATCTATTACCAGAGTGACGATTAGCTGTGGACTCCTGGCTTGCTGAAACTGGAAAGTTTAGGTATTTTTCTGGGGAGACAGTTTTTCAGGGAAGGTCTTTGTACAATGGGCTCCAGTAATTGTCTCCAGAACATAGTGTTTCTCCTAAAGAGAGAAATAGCTCCCTGTTGGTAATAATCACAGCATCTGGCAAATAGGCTGTAAGTTATGAAAGTTTATGCCTCCCTGAACCACTTAGTCTCTAAGGTGTCACCCTGCCCTGTTTTCTGCCTGACGAGTTGTGAGCATTTCCCTTTCTTTTACTGTTCTGTCAAAAAGACATTTTTTTTCAGTTCTGAGATTTTAGCTATTGAAAAACCAGGCCCAATCTAAGTATTAGAAAGGTGAATAAATGGATTCTTTGCCTACACTTTCCCCAACTGTGACTTGTGCAGGGCTGTGCTGACTGGCTTCTGTAGGCAGCTCCTTTCTTGCTTATCTTGGCATCGTGTTGTAATTACAATTTTAAAATAATTCTTGGAAGGCAAAATTGTACTCTGCAGCCCCCTGCTCAGTTTGGCAGGGAGGCCAGAGGGCACCAGGTGCAGTTCTGTTCAGGGAGAAGAGTCAGGGAGGAGGAAGAAAGGGGCAAGAGAGGTTTGTAGTAATTTTTTTCTTGTAATTGTCCAAATTTTGCCATGAAACCTGTAGGCTTTCCAGACAAGTTAGCATTCACTAAGATTCCTCTCTGCCCAACACAAAGGGCAGGAGCCTACTAACTTCTGTTGCTCACTTTGTGTCCCTTAGCACATTGTGCCTCAGACTGGATGCTGAGAGCTTGAAGCAGATGGAATTTTCGACTTTCCAATCTCAATAACGAAGACTAAATTTTATCATTTTTTATTTCTAGCGTCTTGCAGTAGGTCAGTCCCCTTAAGTCCTGCCTAGTTCCAACTCTCCACACCCCTGCTAAGAGGTAATGAGGTGTGTTTTAGCTCCTCAGCTGAATTTGGCATTGAGCTTTTAAAAAAAACCCATCTGAACAGGCTGCTGTTTTATTGAACTAAATGCCCCAGGAGCACATATCTGTGTGTGTTCATGCTGCACTGAAGGAGCTATGTTAAGTCCACATCACAGTGTTGCATGTATGGAACCGTGCTGCTGTGCTTTACTGTAGGAGCCCCCAGCCTTAGCCTCCAGTAGCATAGACGTGACATTATAATTTAGCCTTATGTTTTTTGCATAGAAACCCTCAGTGACATGAGTGCTAAGCTTAGCATACAGAGCAGTGACAGCATGCAGGCTCAGCTGAACCGCAAAACTAGGGCCCCGTGGTTCGAGGTGCTCAGAATCCTTGACTGTCATTGACCTAGACAGGTGGAGGAGGTAGACAGCCCCTTGCAAGGTGTCACCTTCCTGAAGCTCTTGATCTCAAAAAAAATATTTGTTCTGTGGGCAGAAGGGGAACAGTCTGCCCTGCTGAGTCACAGTCGATATGAGCATGGTCCTATTCAGGCTCCTACGTGAAGAAAAGGTGTTGTGCCAATGAATGATAGAGTGATGAGAACCTAATTGGCTGTGCCCTTGCCTGACCCTTGCATTAGAAAAGAGCTTCCTATGTTCCGTGGACAAAGAACAAGCACATAAGCAATCCCTGTACTGGGGGTTTTCCAAGGGACTGGGGGAGATAAACAGCCTAATGGCAAAAAAACCCACCTTCACTGCTATCTCAACACACACAGCCTTTTCAAAAGCAGGCGCTGTAACTGGTTTCAGTGATTTAATATCATTTCTGTAAAAGCATGGATTTCCTTCAACAAGCTGGATCTCTTTGAAAATGTCCATGTATTTCATGTCATTCCAAGGCACTTTACTTCCCACATCTGGCTGGATGTGATATTTTAGCACAGGGGTGGCCAACCTGTGGCTCCGGCTCCACGTGCAGCTCTTCAGAAGTTAATATGCATCTCCTTGAATCTTTGCATGAGCACATGGCAACCAGCTTCCAAATGTCTCTAAATGTCTTCCAACCTGCGGCTTCGGAGCCACAGGCTGGTCACCCGTTTTAGCACTTCCTGGCCTAGACAGTGCAGTGCCGCTGTGTGTAGCAGTCACATTTGACCCCACGGGGTAGTTGTACGTGGGTAGCAGCTGACATACCCCATCCCGAGGCATAGGTTGAACACTGTAATTGCTTCAGAATCTTTTGGTAGGAAAGAAGTTGTATAAATCACTTATCGAATCATTCTCTGGAATCATAAACATCAGAGCTGAAAAATAAGTGCTGGCTTGGAAGTTACCCTCTTGCTGGAATTGCAGAACAGCAGCAGCAGCTTTAATGTAAGTGGAAAACTGAAAAAAATTTAATTAAAACTCTGGTTTTGAAGTAGAGAGCTGGACTGAGTTTGAGGTTTGAATGAATCTAAATGTAGGTGTTTCCTTTCATCTGTGAGCTTAAGCGGGAGAAAGAGTGAAGAGTTGTTCCCCCTTCTCCCTCCCCCCCCAAAACTCAGAACCATAAACTTGATACTGAAGAATGGAACATACATTTGGAACATGCAACATACGTTACTCCCAAAAGTAGCACTGATCCCAGTTAGTACTGCCTGGTTACTCATTAATATTGTAACATCTTATAGGTCAACACAGGTTGAGGCCTGCTCACTGCTAGGACTGGAAGACTAGCAGGGATATCGATATGCTACAAGTCATTTGTAAGCAGTAGCCTTCCCATATTGCCCTGGGTGAGACATGAAGCTGAATATGCCATCAGTCTTGTGAGGCATAAACCTTAGGTTCTGAAGCTTTGTGATCACTGAAGAGTCCGCAATTTCTTTATTTAAATCCAATCATTGTGACTAAAGTTTGGCATCCAGTCTCCCTGGATTCTTCCTGGAGATGCACTTGTGCACAGCATTCTTCCTAAATCCTTTTAAGGTGGTGTTGTGCACTGGTAATGCTGTTAAAACAGCTGTTTGTATTCCACCCAAAGGGAGGCTCTACTAATCTATGTTTATCTCTTGCATACATCATACAGAACTAGAAGGCTTAATGAATTGTTAGTGGGGAACAAAGACCTGTGAAATTAAAGGCTGTAGGAGGCCAAAGTATTAACACATGAGAAATGCTGAGGTTAGCATGTTTACCCAATGACATCACCACCACAGTAAGGTCTGTATCACTGCCCTACATTACTGCATGTAGAACAAAAATACAGCGTTCCTGTTCAGACTGTAAATAGGATTTGAAGGAAACACCTGTAACTGTGGTTAATATGCCAGTGGTCTGATGAAAGGTTGGTTTCAGCAGACAAGAACATCATTGTGCTAAATCTACAAAATCACTATTTTGTTAAACAAGGATCCTCATTCCATTCCTTTAAAATGCGTGTACTTTAAAAATACAAAAGCTCTCACATACAGTCATCTTGCAGAGCTACTTTCACTGAGCTACTTGTGTTCTGCGTACCAGAGTTTGAGCGAGTTCTTTGCCAGCGCTCTGAACTGGTGAACACCCCCCCCAGGCTCCTTTGGAAAAGCTCTTGAACATGCCGGCACTCACCCCATGAGTTTAGGATGAAAAGAGAGATTGAATGCTGCTAGTATTTGTCTGGAGTTATAAGCCACTTGTTTCAAGTAGGGGTGGAGTGGTTATCCAAAATATGGCCAGTTAGGCAAGAGGAGAACAAGACAGACTTCAGCTCAGAGAAACAATTAAAACATCATTCTTTGATTTTTCTCCATTGACTTGAAATAAGCTCTCTTCACCCATGAATTTTAAACACCAAGGCCATAATTAAGTGCATTAAACAACATATGAACAGGTAGAAACATTGCTCAATTCTACTTTATTATTTAGACCAACAGCTTTCTTCCCATGCTCTGTAAATCCCAAGTGAGTAATGTTATGCCCTGAAATGTTCACCAAACCAATCTAATGCTGTTTTCCTTCCCATAGGATTTGACAGGTGGAGTATTTGAAAAAAACTTGAACGAACTGAACTTGAAAGAGGGACTGGATTATTATCATTTCAACTGAAAGCTGAGGTATAGCAAGGAATCTGAGAGTTCATGTTTCTTGAGCAATGTATGTGTGTTGGAAAACAAAATGGTGTCCAGAGAGGACTGGATTTCAGTTAGTCATTTGAACTTCACCAGATTAATCTGTCTTCTGATTATTAATCCATTTCTAAAAGCAAACTTTAGTAATGCCTTCTGGCATCTATATTTACCAATTTTTAATAAGGCCTATTACTTGCTTCATAAAGTCAGCTGACAGCTGTAATTTTTCCCACTTAGTCACAGAATTCAGTAACAAACACAAATCACTAGCGACCAATGCAGCACAATGCTGAGATGCACATTTTTTGTTGCTAAATTGTGCAGCCTCTGACATTGTCACTTATGTTTCTGGCTAGCCCCAAGGAAATATTAAGTCCCAAGCAAACATCATATAAATGTTCCCAAAGAAAGTGCGTACAGACCTTGAAGACTTAGGTTCTGTCAAAAGTGGGCAGGGGCCCCCCCAAGCCATTCGCTGGAATTGGTTAATCACTTGCTACTGACAATAACAGCTGGTGTTTCCTGAGGTACAGTCTTTGCATTACCACTTTGTATCCATGGGAACTGCTAGTATTGAGGGATTAAAGAGGCCCAGAGTTATGGCATCCCTCTGATTTCAGCCTGTGCAAAAAATAGTGTGGATATGAAGCATGTTGCAGCCACAGGACTACACAAGCAGTCACCTCCCAGTTTGCCTCCCATGTTGATTTGAAAAGTAGATTTCGTTAACATCATATAAAGTCGTGTTTCCCTAGTAGGGGGGGACTGGCAAGTTATATTGTTGCCAGAACAGAACTAGAACCCCAGGTCCACATTTTGCTTTGTTTTTCAAGAGAAATATGACACTTAGTGATTTATTACAAATGGGCCCCTCCAGACATGCAGGTAAATTGTACTTCCTCCTGTGCCACAAGTGCATTGCAGGAGGTGTAATTGTGGGATCGTGCATCAGATTCCATCATGTCTTATTGCTGGTACAGCGGGTACCTAGGATCATGATCCTGGACTCCCCCTGCACCGACAAGTCGAAAGCTCCCACAGCTGAGTCGCCTCAGCTGATGAGGCTCCCAGCCGTGGAGGCACACCACGGTGGATGGCAAGAAAAAGACTGACAGTTTGAATTTTATGGTCTAAGTTGGGGTATGGCCTCCTGACCAATTGCCTGACTGACTTTTGTAAAAAGGTTGGCTTTTGCAAAATTCTCCCAGTTTGCAAAAGCCAACCTTCCCAAAGTTAAGGACTTCTGTTTTTTACTGAGGGGCTTGCCTGCTCTTCAGTGAACTAAAAAGGTGACCAATTCACGGTCACTGTCACCAAGCTTCCCCTCAATCCGCAGATTGCTCACCAGGTCCTCCCCTTTGGCCAGGACCAGATCAAGCAACCCTTCTAAGTAGAGGTCATCGATGCACATGAGAAAGCTCCGCGACCTGTCAGATTTGGCTGTCCAGTCATCCCAAGAGATGTCAGGGAAGTTGAAGTCTCCCATGACAATCATGCATTGGGAGTGCACAGCTTCAACCAGTTCTCTACTGAATTCCCAATTTAGTTTTTCCTCTTGGTGGGGAAGTCTATAGTAGACTGGTACAAGTCAGTCACCCTCCCCATGTTCTCATTGCATCTTGACCCAGAGGGTCTCAAGATGCCCTTCCTGGTTTGGAAACTCAATCTGCAGGGAAGTGAACTGATCCTTGACGTAAAAAGCAACACCCCCACCCCTCTTCCCCACACAACCTCTCCTATACAAGGTGCAACCCCCTACTGCCACTGATCAATCATAGATGGAGTCCCACCAGGTCACCGTAATCCCTACAAGGTCACAGTCATTTTCACATAGGAGAACAGACAGTTCCTCATGCTTATTTCCCAGGCTCCTGGCATTTGTGTACAGGCAGTTAAGTCTACCAGGAGAAGCCCAATGCTTCCTTGAGGAGTGAAGCAGGACCTTTCATTGGGCTGTCACTGGAGTGGGTTCCCTTGGGCTGCCCAAGTTATTGGTGGTGCAGCTGACATGACCTAGGCTAGAACTGTTAGTAGACTGCCTGTCCTCCAGTGGTCTCAGTTTAAAGCCCTGTCACAAAGGTCAGCCATTCTGGCCAAGAAGAACTTCTTCCCTTTCCAGATGAGGCGGAGGCCATCCCTTCCCAACAGTCCACTCTCTGAAGTGCGGACTGTGGTCAAGGAAGCCAAACCCCTCACAATGGCACCATTGCTGGAGTCGTCTATTCACCGATGTACCTATCCCTCGGAGCCCATGTCATGTGACAGGGAGGATTGAAGAAAAAAAAAAAAAACACTATCTGTGCCCCCAGACCCTTGAGCCCAGCTCCCAGAGCCCTGTAGTCACACATGACCCAGCCCGGACTTCTCCGTGCCGTATCTTGGTGGCTGAATCTCTGAATCAGAGGACCCTTGAATCTTTCTGAATTGAATCAGAACCTTCCGAATTGATTTGGAGAGATTCAGAAAGATTTGGCAATTCGGATATAGACACAGCTTTAAATGTTTTTTCTACATACCTCTAGGTAGCAGGCGGGTCATGAAAGCTGCAAAGCTTGGGCACGTGGAGTATCCCAGAGGAGCGCAGGCACTCCCCACTGCACTTGGCAGCAGACCCAGAATTAGACCAGAAGCACTTCCAATCTGCTACTAAGTCCGCCGGGGAGCATGCGGGGGGGGGGGGCCTGTGCCCCCCCGGCTCAGCAACTGGTGCCTCCTTGGTCTGGGGGGGTGGCACCTAGGGTCCCCCCTGTGACTGACTGCCAAGCTGGAGGGACATGAGGGAGTCCTCCACATGCTCCCCAGCAGACACGGAAGTGGACCAGAAATACTTCCACTCCACTTCCAGGTTCACTGCCAAACCCATGGTGGGCCTCCCCCACGCTCCTGTGGGACACTCCTTGTGCCCCAGCATCGCAGCATGAACAAGCCATGCTGGTACCTTGAAAGATATAGAAAAAACATTTAAAGCTGTGTCTATGTTCAAATTCCTGATTCTCTGAATTAGCAGCGATTCTTCAGTTTCAGCCGAATTGAATCAGGAACAGTGATGCGAATCACCAAATCCCATCCCTGTCCCTGACTTGGGCGAAATCTGAATCAAATACGGCCCGCTTTGAGCACCCATAGTACTCAGTATGTACTCTGCGACAATAGCAAAAAATAGTACAATAATAGCTTTTCAAAATCTCTCTGGTACCCTCTCTCAAAGTGTCAGGTATGCTTTGGTTTACAATATGGGGGGGAAATCACCTTTTGTATCATTTCTCCATAGTGGCCTGTTTATGGAGTGACTGACTACAGTTTTGAGAAAAAAACAGCAAATTACTATGTTCACTACAGTGCCCTTTGCTTGTGCCCACAGAAACAACTGGCTGTCTTCACAGCTGGCTCAGGCATGTCACATCAGTTAAAATTTACTGGTGTTAGCTGACTGAACTGTCCCCTTTTCTTTTCTATTTTCAGTTTGATTTGCGAACAATAACAGAATCACAGTGTAGGGTGCCCTTACTTACTGTAGTACCTGTGTAGATACAGCTGTCAAAAATACTCAGCTCTAAGAGCAATTTTGTGAAGCACGTGGAAGGCTAACTGTGTGCATGCCCAAAACAGCATACAGAAAACCAAGGAGTGATAGTTAGAACAAAATATTGGCATAGATAGCTAAGTTTGAACATGTGTTGAATTTGTTTAAAAGCTTTTCTGTATAACTCATTTTTGAGCATGCAGCTTTAAAGATGAAGGCAAGCAAGTACCACTGGTGCCAGTTTTTCATAATTCAGAGCTAAAAAGCTTTTCATGTTCTTTGTTATGGAAGTACTTGAGTACTAAAAATGGGCAAGTTAGATGAAAAACATCCCTGTGCTGTCATCCTTTAACAAACGAAAACCAACAACAGCAACTTGTCATAGTACAGACATTTTTAAAAATTAAATAGTGAACCAATATCCAAAAGAGTCTTCCTCTGACAAGGAAAAAGTAAATAATAAATGTGATTGTTCTACCTCACATACCAGTATTCTCATCCCTGAATTTGACTCTGCCTGGTGGTAAGATGGCATAATTTAGTACAGAGTGGAGTTGGGCACATGTGACTGGAAAACAACAAATGGACATGGATGAGGTCCTGCTACTGATTGAATACAGATAAGCCCCATTTGTCCACACCTAATGAGATGCTTTGTTTGAAGATGATGGGAAAGATTTTATTACCATTAAATGTTGCCACGCTTAACCATGAAAAAAATTCTCCAAGATAGGACTGTCCAAGTTGGGCAGCGCTGCTCTAAATGTAACAATTCAGGGTTGAATATCTTACTTGACTACAAGCATCAGCCCTAAGTTGTGAAGGTGTTACATGATCATACAGACTGAATGACTGTATATGGGAGACTTTAATTTAGATTTGAAGGAATACAAGTCATTAGCATCAAAAACAAAAAAAAGTTCAATTATATGATCACAAGGTTAAACTGCTGTCTTGTGGCTACAGATAATGAATGTGAGATTTGGAAACACAATTAACTCTGATGGCTGCCTTTACATAGTGGTAAATGTGTGTAACACAAAGTAGACTTTGACTTGACGTGACTGTGGTTGAAGGTCGCATTTTGCAGCTCTTACTGAGAATCCAGGCTGTTGAGACATCACCACGCAAGCTGCTTCCTCTTTTATGACACAAACCCAAGAACATCAGTTTTCAAAGGAACAGCCCATGCTAAACACATTACGCAGCACTCTATAGAAACAAAACAGAAAGAAGAGTTCATGAAATTGCTTTTCAGTGGTGTATTCAGTTGTTTTTAACAGCCACCAGCTACAGTTGCTTTGGTTGAGTCCATGAATTACATTTTTGAAACACAAATTTCTGTTTTAAGATTGTATAGATTTTGCAATAGCTAGGGTATTTTTAGACCTACTTCTATAAGACAGTGCTTTCCATTACTTATGTTCAGACTGGAATGTCAGGTTTCTTTTCATTCCTTCAAAAATTTGCATGAATACAATTGTACACATGGATTTAGGTTAAACGAACCTCATTCAGCTAAAAAAAAAAATAGTCCATTTGTAAAAAGGGAGCAATTGTGATGTTATGCCTGGCTTTATCTAGCCAAGTTGGTTGTTTTTCTCTGCTTTTATGAAATTTGAGCTTCTGGGGAAAGGCAAAGTGTTGTGCATTCTCATGCACGCACATACACAAGCCACCAAAACCTGTTTGTCACTGAATCAGACTGCTGTGCAAATGGTTCAAGTTCAGTGAGTTATTACTTCTCAGAGTGAACTCCGGGAGTATTCATTAGGTTGCTTTGCTTACAAATGGTTTAGTTATTTTTATTTGAAGAAAAAAGGTAAATTACTAAATTTAACTTCTGGACGAGATGCACAGGTATTTAATGGAAGCTCAGTATTAGGTTACTTGCAGCAATTTTCAAACATTGACACACATTTAGGTGTCTTGTTTTTAAGGAGACATTTCATTTCTTCCCACTCTTTCCTTTTGGTCTCCGAGTGAATTAGAATACAATTGGCTCATGTCTCAAGAATATTTTCTGCTCCAATATTTTGACATTCTTGTCAGACCACTGAAGCAAATGACTTCACAATTCATGTCAACTCTGATGTAGGGCGGAGGCAGAGGCAGAGAAAAGGGTAGACATGCCCAGAGCAGGAGCCCAGGGGCTACAGATTCATTCCTCAGAGGCCACCAGTTGCACAGCCCTGGTCTATTTCTCTGCATCATCCTAATGGAAACAAGGGGACCTTCTACCCCAAAAACAAATTCTTCCTCTCCATTAACCCTGTACCCATCTGTACATACTACAATTAATGTTTGATTCAATCAAGATATGGTAACTTTAAAAGCACACAAGAACCAGCCTGCCAGTTCTTATTTCTCCAGTGTGTTTGTCACCCTGAGAGGCTGGGGAGCCTGCACTGAGGTTTTGGGAGTCCGTATTGCAGAAGGATGAGCCAAGCCATTACACATTTTCTGTTGCCATGCAGTAAAGACTGTCTACTGAGGAAGACACTTTCACTTTCTTTTAAAATCCCCTGCTGGGAATGGTGTAGGCCTGGAAGGAGTGCATCTGAAGTGCTCATGTAAGCAATCCTTATTCATGAGACCAGAAGTTTTAGAAGCTGCAGTTAAAGATAAATGAACAAGTGGAATAAGTCTTCATTCTGTAATACCTTGGATTTTGTCAAACCCTTCCTCAGTTGGAAAGACACTGGGCCTCCCATTTATCCTGATTCACATGTGGATAGAATTCAGATGGAATTTTAATATCATAAATCCATATATGTATGGCCTAGAGCAGTGGTGCTCAACTGACAGCACATAGAGCCATGTCATCTGGCCCTTGGGGGTCCCAATAACTCCAGAAATTTGGCAGTGAAGAAATGATAGCAGGATTCCCTCTACAGCAGCAAGGGAGCACTGCCAGTATTAATTGTTGGGGTCCTCAGACCCCCATTGGAAGTGAGGTGTGCTGGATGACATGGCCCTGCATGCCAGATCACGCTAATAGGTGGGTTCAGTCCATGACCAGATTTGGTGCCTGGGGACACTATGTGAGGTTGCTCTGTGGCAGGGTCTGGTGCGCAGAGTTGGACTGGTACACGGGATCAGATAGGTTGAGCACCACTGGCCTAGATGTACCTGGATCTCTTGCTATATCGTTTGGGGGGGGACAACACTTGAATGTGTCATCCAAAGAATGAGGTGAGACATGCATTTAGCCACCTCAGCCAGGCTTTTGTCACTAATTATATGCTCATGAATGCTCAAGGGATCAAAAACAGATCATTTTGTATTGGTAGGTAGAAATTTCATTTAGAGAACAGAAGGAACCTACTAATGATAGAACCTGACAAGAATGTGTGTGATACATTTCTTATGCATCTCCCCCAAATCATGCTGTAATAACAGACACTTTGCTCCCTAACTCTGTCTTTTTCAGCAGCCTATTCATCTTCATGAAGTTTAGGAGTTCTCCTGAAACCTCTCTTCCTGTGAAGAATGATGAAAGAACCCCCACATTGTTTAGTATCTCTTATGTTTTTCTCAAATGTGGAAGGCATGAGATCTTTAGGTTTGTTTCTCATCTGCTGACACTAGAAAGGAAGTGCAAAGACCAACGGCTCTACAGAATAATTATCCGATATAACCTTCCCTTAATCAGGCTTCAGTGGCATTGGATCTCCTGAGCCCTAAGCCAAGGAAACAGGCTACATAAATTATACTTCTTGGAGAAGAGTTTGTATTTATTCCCTGGTTGGATTTTCTTATAGTTGTTTCTTATAACTGTTACTCCTGGAATAAGAGTCGCTTCTCTGGGGTCTTCACAATCAACGGGACCAAAATAAACTATCTGCTCTTGTAATGAGTTACAGACCCAAATTAGAGTGAAGACTGTGCATTTCCTTCTGTCCATATTATCACCCATCTTCAACATCAAGCTTCTCCATAAACAGGATTCAAACTGAGACTCTGAGGTCAGATGAATCATTCCTGTGTCAGTGGTGGTGCCAGGATATTTGAACTAGCTCTTGCTGCCAAATTTATGAGAGTCCACAAATCCTCGCTTTATGAACACAACCACTAAGGATATTTCCTTAGGTATTAACTTGATCTTTTCTTTGATCTCATGGTAGAGGTCTCTAGTCCATCACAGCAGGACAAGTACCGCTTGCCAATAACAGTTAGAACAAACTTCAAAGCTGCTTCAGCAGCCCTAAGGATGGCATTTATTTTCTTGCCTGCAGGATCTTTTAGTAGGAAAGCTCCCTCAGCAGTAATTAACATTGCTGCAGGAACCTAAGAGTGAAAAAGTATCTCTGGGTTCAGGTTCTGTGACCTTGTACAATTTCAGGGCTTGCAAACTGCGCTATTTTCTGGGCCTCCCCTAATGAACTGTTTCAAAGCAGAATGAAGATAATGATATGTATTTATTTGTCCAGCATCTTATTTAAACTATTTCTTCTCCTCACAGTATGAATGTGTCTGAAGGAAAAGAATGCTTACGCTCCATTGGCTCAGGTTACTGTGATTGAAGCAGAGGGTTCTCTACCTTTATGGGGGCAGCTTCTCCAAAGGAAGCTGCTGGGTAATTCTGAAATCAACTTTTTAAGAACAACAGGCTATATGAACAGAGATTGCTCTAAAGGCAGGCCACCACTTCTAATCCAACTGCTGCCACGGCTTCCATCCCACTTTGTAGCTGCTTACCTCCCACTGATCCCCCTGCTGCCAAATTTCCACAGACACCCTGACTTCCAAGACTGAGTACAATCACAGATTTGGCCTGCAGGCTGTAGGCTGTTGACCCATACCTTAGGGCCTATTTATCTACCCTCAGAGAACTTCATTTTATGTATTAGCTTTAGGAATACAATTTTCCTGAATGTTTCAATAACTTTTTGTTCTAAACAAAAAGTTGATATATTGAGATGTCATCGGTGTCACAGAATTTTAGTTTTGCTGTTCAATTTGGAGGGGGAATTCTTACCATCTTTTCCCTAACAGTATAGACACACTCATACTGAGGTATCTGTATTACATTATTTCATTCTTCCATTGTCTCAATAAGTTGAGTTTATACCAGAAGTCTGGGATGATTTCAAGGAATGGGACTGGAGGGCTTTATAAGAACCATTTTTGGCAATTCCATACATTCTTATTTAAGACATAGATGTGCAGCACATTCCTTTAGGTCCTGATTTCTATATTTTATTAACAAGGACAGCACACACAGTTGCCCATGAAATAGTCTGAAAAGACAGAATTCATGGTAAAGCAATTAATGCTTTCATTTTGTTTTCAAGGAAAGTTTGACAATACACATTCCAGACTTTACCTTGGTTACCGGTTGCGGTTTGGGCACCTTCATGAGGTCACAAAGGTAGTTACGTTTCTCTCTCACTAGCAGTAATTCAGCATCCCTGGAAAGGAAAAGAGAAATATTACCTTTTCAGTCAATTCAGAAAGAAAACCATCTTTAATAGATTTAGCTGACTAAATGTATAAGCCAGGGGTGCTAAACACTCAGGCTGCAGGCCAGATCCAGCCTGTGGAGCTGTTATCATCTGACCGGTGGGACTCCCCAGGGGTCTGGAAATTTGGTAGCAGGGAAGCACTGGCCATAATGAAACAAACAGCTTAAAAAATCTCACAACAGTATTT